CTAGTGATAAGGTGAAGATGTTACCTTGGGATGATTAAAATAGCTACTTTCAGTTGTCTCAAGAAACAAAGACAAGGGAAATAGAGAAGCAGGTTGGGCAGCCAAAGGACTGTCACCTCCATGTTCTAATCATACTTCCCTGCCTGGGAGTTCTCTTTGGGAGTGGTGAGCCAGCCTGTGTGTGCCCTGTCACCAAAATACACTGAACAAAGCAGAGGAATCCAGTGCAGAAAGACCACAACACTGAATATTCCGGAAATGGTTTCTGACATCACGGGAGTAAATATCAATAAAACATCACAAGACATATTCTAGAAATCAGTTAAGGGTCAGTAGCACTCACAATTTAATTTCCTGTTGAGTTCAGTGATAAACTTACACAGATAAGGACATGTTGTGATGTTTATGTGGGCTACAAAGAAAATCTGGCATCGTAAGGCATGCTCTGGGAGACATCAGATAGCAATTGTATGGTCCTGAGCATTTTTATACCTTTGTGTAAAAGATGTGAAGAAAGCATGGGTAAGGTCAAAGTAGCCTACTTTATTAAAACTTAACTAAAAATGTGACCATAGTCCTATCATGGTATCCATTACTAAATTTAACAACTAGGGCCTCCCTGGTGGCTCAGAAGTTAAGTCTCAGTGTTATCAAGGTATCGCCAGCCACTGTGGCATGATTTCGATCCCTGGCCAGGGAGCTACCCACATGGTGCAGCAGACCTCTCCTGTCTTGCCCACTGATCCCTTCATCAGTGTATTTCAGTAGATCCGCCTGTTCTGCTCCCCACTCTATCTCTGGTGAATCCTCTCACCACCTCACCTCTAGCTTACACCCCAGTTCTTCTATGCATAAATAAATAAAATAAATCTTTAAAAAAATTAACAACTAAGCCACCATTCCTTGACTGGCAGGCACGGTTGGGAGGCTTAAATGGATAAAAGGAGTGGATAGGACCACCCTGGAAAACTTGGTCCATTAAGCTGATGGTCCCTTAGTCTAATGATCCATTATGCAAATTCAGATCATCAACTGGGACCTACCTGACTAGCCATCCTAACCAATCCATGAATATATAAATAAAGCCTCGGGACCCTCACTGAGGGCAGCAGGCCTCTCCTGTTTTGCCCACTGTCCACCTCAGCAGTGCATTTCAGTAGATCTGCCTGTTCTGCTCCCCACTCTGTCTCTGGTGAATCTTTTCACCCCCTGCACCTCTGGCCTACACCCCAGTTCTTGTATGCATTATAAAAAAAAAACGGGGCTCCCCTGGTGGTGCAGTGGTTGAGCGCTGGGCTACAAAGCTGCCCGCAGCCTCTGCAGTGCTGGTTCGATCCCCGGCCACCCACATGGCGCACAGACCTCTCCTGCCATGCCCACTGCTCCCTTCAGCAGTGTATTTCATCAGTCTGCCTGTTCTGTTCCCTGCTCTGGCTCTGGTGAATTCTCTTACCCTCCCGCGCTTCTGACTGTACCCAATGCTTGTATAAATAAATAAATAAATCTTTAAAAAAAAAAAAAAAAAACTTAAGTTTTTCTTTCTCTGGTTTCTTCAGAAAAATATCCATGTTTTTGGATGGTGCTGGAAGGGATCATGCTCAGCGAAATAAGCCAGAAAGAAAAAGAAAAATACCGGATGGTCTCACTCATAGCAGGAATCTAGAAAACTTAAATAAGGGACCAGGAAAATGAATAACTATAAGAAAGTGAAAATCAAAATCAACAAAAAACTATGAACCAGAGACACTTTTTGGGGGGTGGGGGGTGGGAGGGGAGGGATTGGGGTCAGAATGGGGGGGTTGCAATTGTATGGGGAATATAAAAATAAAATTTATTATTTACAAAAAAAGGCAAAAAAAAATCCATGTTTTCTTTATTACGGCTTTTCTTCTTATTTATATACCTATCTGAAAAAAGAAGAAATTGGGTCCTCCCTGGAGGCGCTGGGGTTAAACACAGCACTATCAAGCTATCACCAGCCACTGTAGCACGTGTTTGATCCCCATGCCACCAGGGAGTTGACCCACATGGTGCAGCCGACCTCTCCTGCCTTGCCCTCTGGTCCCCTCAGCAGTGTATTTCAGTAGATCTGCCTGTTCTGCTCCCCACTCTGTCTCTGGTGAATCCTCACCCCCCACACCTCTGACTTACACCCCAGTTCTTATATGCATAAATACATAAATCTTTTAAAAAATAAAAAAAATAAAGAAGAAATTGCATTTTCATTCACTCAACAAGTATTTACCAAGTGCCTTCCCAGGGTCTGATATTGTATTTGATAATAGGAAAGATATAATCATGAAGAGAAAATGTTCTGTCCTCACAGTGTCTAGGAGAAGAGACAGAAACAATTAGACAATTACAATGCAAACTGAATCACCTTTATAATACAAACAAACTGATGCATAATCCCACTGAGGAAGCCGGGAAGAGATTAATAGAGGAGGTGACATTTAAGATGGTCTTGAAGGAACTCACCAGGCAGATAAAGCTAAAAAGGGCATTCTGGGCAGAGGGACAATTTGAACAAAGCCACAGAAACACGATTCAATTATGTACCTGTTCTGCCAGTGATATGGATTTCAGGTAAAGCTGTGGTTTGGGGGGAATGGGAAGCTATTGCAATGTTCCCGAACCAAACAAGTAGCAGTTGGGACATCATGTCATGAAACAATGAATTCAGAAAATATCTGGGAGGTAGGAGGTGTAAACAGGAAGAATATTGAGCCATTTCATTCTTAAAATGCAGCTGATATAGAGCCGATAGCACACATCTTTCAACAAATAGGAACCCTTTAATTTATTCCACTAAAGGAATTTTTGTGTTTGGAATAAAGTCTGTTTGGGCTCGGTATGAGAGAGACAAGATGATTGCATTGATAGAATCTGCAGATTTTGTTTTAAAATAGAGGTACATAAATGAAAATATAACTTGGGGATCTAATCAATACTGCAACTGACTAATAAAGCCAGAAGCGACTGTGTTTTACAAATTGTACTTTAGGGATCCCCCCTCCAGCTGACCTCCACCCCTGTTAAAATGGCCACAAACCAGGAAACTTAATTAAGGTGGGGAGGAGGGGCTGAGATTAAAGATTAACAGGAGATAAAGATTTACGAAAACTCAATGATAGGATAAAGAAAGGTTAGACTAGCTCTTTCATTAAAGGATAACATTCCATTCTTTGTTTTTATTGTTTGACAAAGATAAAGAGATATCCAGTCCTTTCCTACAGAAAAATGCTTAAACTGCTTCTGAATATGATTATAAAACAAGTCCCATGGCAGATGTCAGCCTGCTTTTGCAGTCTGCTCTGTTACAGAGAGGCCACCCCATCGGTTCAGCCTCATCCCATTTCTTCCTGCAAGGACCTGAATGTGGCTCAGGTGACCTGGGACACTGTTGCCCAGCTAGTGCAGGGAGAGAGTGGCTGGGGCTCTCGCCATAGTATCCTGGGCTCTAAAATCATCTTGTCCAAGGCCCACGAAAGCAGGAAGTGGAAAAAGCTGAAAGTCCATTTCTTAAACAAAAGAAAGAGAAAATTTATAGGAAAGTGCAGGAATACATTTTGGGGTTAAGGACAGGATGGCCAAGGCAAAAACATTTGAATTCAAGGGAAGCATAAAAATAAATAGAACACATTTCTTCTGTCAATAACACTGGATCCTCTCTGCTACATTGGTCTGTCACTTAGAGTGGACAAAAGGTATTATGGAGCCTTTGGAATCATACTTTCCAACAAGTATTTTCCAGAGAAATTATAAAAATAACAACAATAACAATAATGATGATGATAAGCTATCTGCAGCAGTTAACATACGATGAGCTGAATTTTTGGCCAAGTACATTACCTGCATTCTCTTATTAAGCCCTCTAAACATGCTATGAGGTAGAGACTATTATTGCCATTTTACAAATGAGAATGCAAAGTTAACAGAGGTTTGACATATTGCTCAGGATCACACAGCTAGTAACTGGTTGAATCCAAATTCTTGTACACTACATTCTAATAAACTCTATTATCATTTGTTATACACATGAATTACAAAAAGCCTCAATTAACTATAATGCATAGATAATGTTCTAATTTATAAAGTATAGATTGGGTCTCCCTGGTGGCACAAGGGGTTAAGTTTCAGCACTATGAAGCTATCAACAGCCACTGCAACATGAGTTCGATCCCCAGCTAGGATGCTGACCTGCATGACACACCAGACCTCTCTTGTCTTACCGCTGCTCCTCGCAGCAGTGTATTTCAGTAGATCCGCCTGTTCTGCTCCCCACTCTGTCTCTGGTGAATCCTCTCACCCCTCTGCACCTGCCTATACCCCAGCTCTTGTATGAATAAATAAAAATAAATCTTTAAAAAATATATAGATATTTTGTTTTTAATTCTCACTGATAATCTTCATAAACTCTTCCTCGCCTCAATAAGCACAATATACCCAGTAGAATTTTTCCTTACACTGGTGAGTGAGGATCTTCTGTTGAAAATCATGATTGTGTCTCCCTTGTGATGTCTTAGTCTTCCCCCACATAATACTCATCCATCTTTCTGGAACCAATTATATTTTCAGGCAATTTAGGCAATTTCTCTCACAGCTCAGCCTACAGTAGCATTTTTTTTTTTTTTTGGTTTCTTTCTTTCTTTCCTTTTTTTTGGGTTTGTTTCTTTCTTTCCCTTTTCTTCTTTCTTTCTTTTTTTTTTTTTTTTGCAAAATATTGTCTGTATCTCAAATCTTTTAGTTCAGAGAATAAAGGTATTTCAGAATTAAATACCTGGATACTCTTGTGATGGCTGTGGTGGCTTTACAATATGTCCACTTGGCTAGCTTGAACTATATTTTCCAGAATTTCCTTTTCTGTAAGTTTCTAGTAAGAGCAGGCCACAGAAGACATGAGATGTCAAGGTGAAAGTGAAGCAACAGTCATTTCTTTAAAAAAATAAGCATTTTGTTTGGAATAATTTTAGATGAACAGAGCTGTTTTGTTTTTATACCTGGAGGCTGGAGCAGGCACTTCCCTAGTCTCCACACATGGTTGTTGATTGGCTGGCTCCCTTGGGGTGTGGGCAGCCCTAGGTATGGGCTGCTCCCCTTCCCTGGGTGCTCCTGCAGGTCCTCTCACTGCTGGGTCAGGAGTATGTTTATCCATCATGGAGGCACAAGCTTCTGTGGTGTGACATTCACTGCATTGAGGTTGGAGGTAGAAGAAGTGACTGGTTCCAGTGTGTCCTTGCAGGATCCAGTTTTCCTTTGCTCTCCTCCCACATCTCCTTACATCCCTTTTCCCCTCCCAAATGTCTGCCCAAGTGATTTTATTTTTATTTTTTATTTATTTATTTTTTTAATGGGAAAAGGCCCATATTTTATTTTTTATATTAATTTTGTTTACATCATTGTTTATTTTTAAATAATATTTGCTTCCCCCCACCCCCTCAGGTGTAGTCCCCATAGTTTCCTTCACCAGTGCACCCGAGCACCCGCACCTCAGTCCCCTGTGCTCCTCCCACCCTCCCTCTGATCCCTCTCCCTCCTCCTCCCCTGCAGTGTGTCTGACTTATAATTGTCTGTTTTTGCTTTGTTGTGCTTTGTACTGTTATTATTTTTTTTACACTGATGTCTTATTTGGTTCCCCTATATTCCCGCTATAAGTGAAACCATCCGATATTTTTTCATAAAATATATAGAAGAAAATATAGGTAAAACACTACAAGACATACATCACAATAACATCTTTAAAGACTCATCACCCAAAGCAAAGAAAGTCAAGGAAAAGATAAACACTTGGGATTACATCAAACTGAAAAGCTTCTGCACAGCAAAAGAGACATTAACCAAAACAGAGAGACACCCCACTGATTGGGAAAAAATCTTTGCACTCCAGTCAACTGATAAGGAATTGATCACAAAGATGTACAAAAAACTCACACAACTCAACAAAAACAAAATAAATAACCCAGTCAAGAAATGGGCAGAAGTTAAAAGACACTTCTTCTCCAAAGAGGAAATGCAAATGGCCAACAGGCAAATGAAAAAATGTTCAACATCCCTTATAATCAGAGAAATGCAAACTAAAACCACATCGAGATACCACTTTACACCAGTAAGAATGGCACATATTATTTTTTTTTAAAGATTTATTTATTTATGCATAAACAGGCCAGAGGTGTGGGGAGGAGGGCTGTGAGAGGATTCACCCGAGTCAGAGTGGAGAACAGAACAGGCAGACTGACTGAAATACACTGCTGAGGGGAGCAGCGGGCGAGTCAGGAGAGGTCTGCTGCGCCATGTGGGTAACTCCCTGGGCAGGGATCAAACTCATGTTACAGAAGCTGCAGATAGCTTCATAGATTGCGTTTTAACCTCTTGCACTACCAGGGAGGCCCTCCAGGTGATTTTAAATGCCAACATCCAAAGTGAAGGCAATAGCTTTGCATAGACATTTTATTTTTTAATTTTTAATATTTTAAATTTTTTAAAGATTTATTTATTTATGCATACAAGAACTGGGGTACAGGCCAGAGATGCAGGGGGTGAGAGGATTCACCAGAGACAGCGTGGGGAACAGAACAGGCAGAATGACCAAAACACACTGCTGAGGGGAGCAGCGGACACATCAGGAGAGGTCTGCTGCACCATGTGGGTTGCTCCCTGGCCAGCTGGGGGATAAAACTCATGCTGCAGAGGCTGTGGATTGCTTCATAGTGCTGTGCTTAAACCTGTGTGCCACCAGGGAGGCCCCTGCATAGACATTTTAAAAGCTAAAAAAAAATGGCATAAACTCAAATTCTTATAACTAATCATATCTATATCTACAAAGGGGTTAATGCTTGCATCCAATGAGACTTGCTTTCAAAAGGTAAGATGACAAATCTGATGATTTATTGAAAAGCAGAAGCAATATTCAAGGAAACGGAGGAAGAAAAAGAAAGGATGAGGAGGGAGTGAAAAGGGGTCGTGGGAGCAGAAAAATTACAAGTAATTTGTGATAATGTAACATATGTCAATTTCATGCCAGGCACCATGCCTGGTACTGGAAACATAAAGATCAATAATAACCCTAGACATTATAATCTTTTGGGGGGGGGGGAGGACCCTTAAAGAGCTAACTATAATAGAATAAGTGCTACATAATTGGCATGAATAAAGTACTATGGGAAAACAGAAGAGGAAGTCATTAATTTTGTCTGTGCAGATCAGGAAAGGCTGTACAGATGAGGTAACACTGATGGTGGGCCATGAAAAATGAACAGGAAACTCACTAGTGTGGGGACTTGCAACTCTTAGCAGGCATCTGGATCACCTGGAGGGCTTATTAAAACATAAATTGCTGGGTCTGACCCCTGAACTTTTGATTCAGTAGTCCTGGTGAGGTCTGAAAATTTGCATTTGCCACATGTTCCCAGATGAGGCTAATGCTACTGACTTAGGGGCCACACTTTGAGAACCAGAGCTTTAGTGAAGAAAAATGGGATGGCGCCAGCATCATAGCATACTATGATGCTTCCTGCAGCCACTGCAGCACAAATTCGATCCCTGACCAGGACTACCCACATGGTGGAGCAGACCTCTCCTGACACGCCCACTGCTCCCCTCAGTAGTGTATTTCAGTAGATCTGCCTGTTCTGTCCCCACTCTGTCTCTGGTGAATCCTTTTTTTTTTTTTTTTAAAGATTTATTTATTTATTTATACAAGCACTGGGTACAGTCAGAAGTGCGGGAGGGTGAGAGAATTCACCAGAGCCAGAGCGGGGAGCAGAGCAGGCAGAAGGACCGAAGTACACTGCTGAGGGGAGCAGCGGGCGGCAGGAGAGGTCTGCGCGCCATGTGGGACCCTCCTCCAGTGGCAGGGGAGCAGCCGGGGATCGAACCGGTGCTGCAGAGGCTGCGGGCAGCTTTGCAACCCAGTGCTCAACCGCTGCGCCACAGGGGAGGCCCTCTGGTGAATCCTTTTATCCGCCCCGACACACACCTCTGGCCTAAACCCTAGTTCTAGTATGCATAAAATAAACAAACCTTTAAAAAAAAAAAAAGACATAACAGGGCAAAGTGAGAGGGGTATAAAATTCATTAACATTTTTTCTTCTTGTTCTTCTTTCTCTCTTACTATTTCTACTACCTTTGCCCTCTGAATACCATCTTGCATGAAGATTTATAGTGTCTTTGAGATACTAAACTGGAGATGTTCAGAAAGAAGAAGGCCATGCAGGGAAAGTCAGGTTGGACATACTGGTTTGAGAGATTATGCATGTAGGTGACAGGGGGAGTCTGCACAGGGGACACATCACCAAAAGAGATCTGCAAAGGGAGAAGGTGGGTGAATGGGGAGGGAAGGAAAAGAGAACAGGAAAAGAGGCTCAGCAGGGTGAAGGACAGAAGACTGAAGAACATTAGCGATGGGAGGACTAAGGGAACGCTGCAAAGGAAAGTGAGTGGGAACAGTCAGTGAGATAGAACAAGAGAGAGTTTTGTTATGGAAGCCATGGAAGGATTTCTGTAAGGACAGAGTGGGCAGAGAGGCCAAGTTGAGCACCGGAGAGGCTGAGGTATTTGCCAATTAGTAAGGTGACTAGCTCAAGAGTGTGTTAAGAATTATACATCACAGGGCCTCCCTGGTGGTGCAGCAGTTGAGCGCTGGGCTGCGAAGCTGCCTGCAGCCTTTGCAGCGCCAGTTCCATCACCGGCCACCAGCAAGGGTCCCACATGGCACGCAGACCTCTCCTGCCTCGCCTGCTGCTCCCCTCAGCAGTGTGCTTCGTCAGTCTGCCTGTTCTGCTCCTGCTCTGGTTCTGGTGAATTCTCTTACCCTCCAGCGCTTCTGACTGTACCCAGTGCTTGTATAAATAAATCTTTAAAAAAAAAATTATACATCACAGTAGGGTAGAGGTGAAAGGAGAATGAAGACATCAATCAGTTAGTGTTTGATAATTTACATTTCCTCATTGAAAGTAAAAGCAAGGAGAAAGTAAAAAGCTAGTGGGGGATTACAGAGGGCTTTGAGGGTTGGGAAGGGTGAGCAGACTTATATAACCCATTCTGTTTCATGTTGAAGGCCAAATTAGGCTGGAGACCTGGAACCTTAGCATTTTCTCCAGCAGTGATCAACAGCCAATATACAATAGTATAAAAAAAATCAGTGGTGATGGATCCAAGGAAAGGTAATTGTATTGGAAAGCAAGGAAAGAAAGACTTCCAGGGCAAAAAGGTTTCCAACAACATCAAATGTTCTGAGAGCTTCCCAAAGACCAGGATTGAGATGAATGAGATCACTGGACCTGATGATTTGGAGATCATTGTGGTATTGACATGAGTGTTTTCCCTAGAGTACTGCATCAGAAGCCAGAGTACAGTTGGGTTGAGAAAGGAGTGGAAGACTATGTGTATAGCAGCACTATTTACAATAGCTAAGCTATGGACACAACCCAAATGCCCCCAAATAGATGACTGGATCAAGAAGATGTGGTACATATACACCATGGAATATTACTCAGCAATCAAAAAAGATAAGCACATGCAGTTTGCAGCAACATGGATGGAGCTAGAAGGGATCATGCTCAGTGAAATAAGTCAGAAAGAAAAAGAAAAATACCAGATGGTCTCACTCATAGCAGGAATTTAGAAAACATAAATAAGGGACCAGGAAAAATACTAATTATAATAAAATAAAAATAAAAATCAACAAGCAACTATAAACCAGAGACACAGTATGGGGGTGGGGAGGGGGAGAAGGGAATAGGACCAAAACAGGGAGGGTGGGAATTGTATGGGGGCTATAACCAAGATGAAAATGCATACATTGTGCAAAAATGAAAAATGATATAAATGTAAAAATGATGTAAATGTAAAAAATATATAAAATAAATTAAATTAAAAAATACAATAAAAATAAATGTTATTATAAAAAGTATTGTAGAAGTAAAAACAGGAAAAAAAAAGGAGTGGGAGGTACTCCTTCAAGAGTTTTGGCTTTAACAGATAAATGCAGCAATAGTAAAGTCAGGATCAAAGAAAGATCTGTCCGAGTGGACACAAGAGCAAACCTGGGTACACCGATCTGCACAGGCTGATTAGAAGCCAGTGGAGGGCCTCCCCGGTGGTGGAGCCGTTGAGCGCTGGGTTGCGAAGCTGCCTGCACCCTCTGCAGCGCCGGTTGGATCCCCAGCTGCTCCCAGGCCACCGGAGGAGG